CCTCGTTTCATAGCACTTATGGCCACTGTTTTGGGCCTAATTAGAGCTGCCTAAATCATGCTTAAGTCCATCCTTTGCTTGCTTGCATGCTTACCTTGCATGTTTGTTTGCATGCTTGCATGTACACCTTACATTCCTATGTTGCATCCTTAGCTTGCATGCCTAGGTTGCATTGCATCTAGCATGCATGTCTTGTTCCTTGATCTAGTGATAGGAATTGGGCTTTGGTTTGATTGTGTGCATTGCATTTCATTTGACATCAAAATGTGCACGCTTGGTCTCTTGGGCCATCACGCATTGAAATGCGCGATTGGTGGTCCGAGAACCAAGGACCATGTCCCTTTGAGTCACACACATGAAAAGGGGCTTGGTAGGTGCATATATGGCTTGAATTGCATTGCCATGCAAAGTCCTGTCCTTTGCTGCTGTCAAACAGGTTCTGCAGGAACTTATTGCCGATCGACTGCATAGAGTGCCGACCGGCAATAAACCGGCAGCCGATGGATTCATTGTGTGCCGATAGACACCAAACCACTGCTGGTGGCCATTCTACTCAGCCGGTGGTGTCTCCCAATATCCAGAGAAGCAATTCTGAGACTTTGACAGTCTTCAGAGGAGCAGAGCAGGGAAAAGAGAGGCAGATTGCGCATGGCAGTGAATTCCCGAGCAAGCCCGAGCATGCATTGCATTGAGCTCTCTTCCCGAGACGGTTTACTGTTTTTCCTAGCTTAGTTAGTTTGTTAACTAATTAGGTAATTTGTAATAATTAATTAGCTAGGATAGTTAATTCATTATTCGATTTGTATTATTCTTTCGGTCCCTCCGAGGGAGGGCAAATTTGTAATAAGTGTGGGTGAGTGTGTGCATGTCTTCCAACCCCCACTTCTTTCTCCTTTTTACTTACCTGCTTTGATGGTTAGTAATAGGTCATGTTTAAATTAGCATACCTTATGCTATGCATGTGTGCATCCATGCATTTGCCTTGCATGCACCGGGCTTGGCGCATCATGCTAACTGCATTAGTATTTCAAATCTAACTTGAATACGTGCATCAAATGATTGCATTTCACATGCCATTTTAGGATTAGCCGAGCCTATCCTAATTGCATTTTGTATGCGATGCATTAGTCACTTAACATGAACTAGGATCATGCATGTTGACTAACTAGTTTATTGTTTTGGCACGGAATACGATGTAAGTATTAATGCTTTAGCATATCGCATGCGTGTGAATGCTACCATGACAGTATGCTTACCATGTGGCTAGATGCTTATGTGATAAACTGTTTGAATGCCTATGGGTGAAGGTTGGATTGTCTGAGTTGGAAAAAACTCGTTGAAATCCGTATTTTAGCCTACTTGCGAGTAGCAAATTCCAAGACATTTTCCAAAACAAACGGATGTGCAATGCTTATTTCCAAATTAGGCAATCTAGTCTATACTTGTTTGCTGTGCGCATAACATAGTAATTCTAGGCTAATAACTGGAATAAGAATACATAACATTTTCAAAACTGGATATCACGGTTAGTAGAGGCCGGTCTTCGGACCGGGCGAGAGGGGGTGCTCATAGCTGACCTTCCCCGATCGTACCCAAGTTCCCGAGCCGAGGCAGCTTTGGTGATGACGGACATGTGGCCTTTGGCACCGAGTCAGGGTTTCCTAAATTCCCCTATTTAAAAATATTTAGGTGGCGACTCTGTATCTGGCAAAGCAGTCCATGTTTGGCACTTCTTTTCAAAAAATCTGTTTCTCAAAACGATTTGCCGGATTTGGACTCTTTGGTTCAGATTAAGAACCGTGACACAAATCGAGTCCGAACTGTAGCGAGGGCCCCCCACGCGGGCGCGTCTGACTTCCAATCGTAGATCTGGAATCTCGACATGCTAAACCTCTTCGGGGCTTTGAATTTGTCCAATTCTACCGAGAATGGCATTCTTGGCTTGACCGACGAGGTTACCTCAGCATCTTGTCGCCTCCTCTGTAGGTAATCCCTTAGGTCCTCCTTGGTCTGACCAGGAGCTCGGCTATCTCCTGACTTCAGCCTTTTAGGTGCACTACTCTCAGCTTCGTTGTGAGCCTTCTTCGACCTTTCTTTATTAGTTGCGTCGAAGCATAACTCCTGCCTTTGAACATGCCGATGTTCTTTGGGGTCTGCTTCCTTGGTGCGATGTGTCCTTCGAGATTCTTCTCTTCTCGACTCTCCTCGCCCGACCTCCCTTGAAGGCCGGTGAGAGTGTTTTTCGCTCCTGGTGTGCTGGGGGACTATAAGGACTGTTTTCTGCCTATCTTGTCGGGCATTTTTCTTGGCTGCTGGAATCGGTGTATCTTGTAACGGGAACGGTGGCTACATGACGTTGTTCTGCATCATGAAATTGACGGCCATTTACAAGTCCGCCAATTTGTTCGCCATTCCCTTTACCTTATCGTCCACCCGTAGGCATCTATCCTTCCATACCTGAAGGTCGTTCTCGTTGTAATATCCGCTTTGGTCCGTTTTCTTTGGTACGTCGCCTTTCTGGCCATCCTTTCCTCTGTGATTCTGATCAGGAGTCTCTTCGTTGTAGTTGTCTTCTTCGACGTCAAGGTCTACAGGTTTCCCACTCCCAATAGGAGTGTCATCCCCAATCTTCTCTTTCTGTCCGTCGTTGGCCATCTATTCTCCTTTCTTTTCCATAGACGGTACCAAATTGTGTGTGTGAATTTCCGACCACACTGCCAAACTAGTACTTAGCTAGAGAGCACCAGTAGAATAGATTAAGCCCGAATGACATGCAACAGAAAGAAGAGATTTCAGCGGTGGTTCGTTCACTCGGGGGCACTCCAATGGTCAAGTCAGTTATGTCTCGAAGATAGCAAAAATGCTTAACTCACTATTCATAAAATAAATTGCGTACCTTAGACCTATGAGGGTGCCTCTCTTTTATAGCCAACACAATCCTAGTCCCAATAGAAGCCTAGCTCTAATGGACTTAGGATTACTGCTAATCTTGGACTCCCAGTAGGTTTAGGATAAACTCTCTAAAAGTCTTATCTTTACCCAAACTGAAGTCTTTTCTCATTCTAGGACTCTTGTCTCTTATCCACTTATCTCGGATTCCGGTTTCTTCGCAGATAACCTCGGCCTAGCCGAGATCATCTCGGCGTCATGACCAGGACACGTGGCATCTCGGTTGACACGTGGTATCTCGGCTGACACTTCGGCATCACATTGGCCACGTGTTGGCACTCAAAAAATATGTCCCCACAATGGCTATCTTATTAACATGTGCTTATAATAATCAAATTTTGTTGGTTAGTAAAAAAGATTTATTTTGGTGATGGTTTTTTGACAAATCAATTTTATATACAACTCTTCAAGAATTCGAGTCTTCTCATTCTTAAAGAGTTGGGGGGGCATTGTTTGCACCTATTTTTGTAAAATTCCTATAGATAGGTGAATTAATCGAATGATGACACGTAGTAGTGAAGTCAAAGTGAAGGTACTGCATCAGTTAAGGGGCATGTGGCATTAGAAGAGTTGATCATGTGCCTTGGATGGCTTAGATGGGGTAGTTATCAGGCCAAGTCATGGACTTAGTAGGCGACTTGCAAAAAAGGACATGTGTAGGATGGAAGTTTTTCTCTGTCGATAGAAGGTCCAAAGGACCTAGGGACACGTGTTAACTCAAAGGGAGTGAAGATCGACAGATAGAAGTGAAGGTCTAATTTGATTGGAAGGCCTAAAAGTCAGGAAGCAGTTGCAGCAGTTAAGCAGTGACAATTACAGGGTTCAGGGAGGTCATGCGATTGTGGGCCAGGAAAGAAGGAAGGCATGGTTGAGATTTGGGCATTATAAAGGCAGTAAAAGAGCAAGAGAGGACATCAATCAGCAACACAAAGAACTAGTTTTAGACTTGTTTTTATTTTAGGAGTAGTTCTATCTTAACTTAGGAGTAGTTTCTCTCTGTAATTTGTAAGCTTTGTAAACATTGGTGATTTCATCTTGAAGTTATCTTTAGTTTGCTTTGTTCACCTGGTTCGATCTTGCTAATTGTAACTTTTATTCCAAAGAAGTCCTTGTACTTTCAAGACATGTTCAATTATTTGTTTAAATTGTTGTTTAAATCCTGTCGATTGGGAGTGAGCATAATTTTTACTAACACATACTCAATTCTTTTAATTAGTTCTAATTAATTTTGTCTAAATCAAATTTTAATCAAACTTTCTATTAGGCTCTAAAAATTATGTTGATTGTAATAAATTAACCAATTTCGGTTTCTGACACCATTAAAGCCTTCAATTTTTGGATCAAAGCAAAAATCATAACAAATTTTTCTACGATCAACAGATATAAAGTCAAAATCATATTAATGACATATTTATCACTCATTTTCACACTTAGCACATAAACACATGCACAATTAAAGAATTAAAAGCATAATACAGGACAGAATGGTCACAGTTGCGTTGTTTTGAGTTGGTTTGGATGCCCTGAACTTGAGCTTGCAAACGGCCATTTATAATTGCTAGGTGCCTTCTGGAAGCTATGAACGACCTCCTAAGACATTTCAACCACTTCTGCTGCTAGGGTACTAGACTAACTCTCTGACTGTCATGTGTCTTACACAATCTTTCTTTATGGATATTATAATTGAAATATCCCTTAAGGATTGGAACGACTGGAGCCTCCTTTCAATCTCAATTGTTGGGTGGTGGGTAGTAGGTTTTAGATGCTTGCCAAGTGTCCTATGCTCAAAGTATAACCCATAATTATAGAAACCGTTAGGAGCTTTTCAAATGTGACCATTATATCAAAGAGATCATAAAATTCCCCTTTACCTCGATGGCTGCCACGTGGCTATCTTCATCAACTGCAACCTCTCTCTCTATATATGATTTCATAGGAAAACTATTTGACTCTATCATCATATTAGTCATCACCCCCAAAACGTAGAGGCAGTTACTGACACCCATGGCCTCTGATAAAATGAACTACTTTTACTCACCCCACTGCCACGTGGCTCTTTCTCATCATTGATTTGTCATTTTGGGTCCAAACACAATGATACATATTTTGAATTCAAATAATTACATAGAGAATTACATTCATTCTAGATGTGGTCCATATCACACCAATTCTAAATTTACATTGTACACTTAACTTTTGGGGAACAAATTCTGGGTACATGAACATTTTTCACAAATTTTAGTTTCTTAGGAAAGAATTTTTTTTGAAAACCAACACTCTATGTTTAAAACACATTCAACCTTGAATATACATGTCCTGTTCTGTTTCCATCAAACATTTTTTTGTTTTGGTATTTTGGCTGGCTGTAGTAAATAGATAATTTTAAGGAAAGACGAGACTAGGCACTGATGCAGCTCTAGTGTATGCTAATGGCAGCATGAGAAGCTTCTTAGTCCTCCCGACATAAGCTCGCTTTGTCAAGTTATCATAATCGTTATCCTCAATTGCATCCAAAATCTTGCGATATAACAGTAACGATGACCAGACCTGCAAATATTTTCACCAACAAAAACATTACATAAGATGCTTTCATTCAGTACGATAAAGCTTATAGCTTTACTGCAGGAGCTGCTAATTGTAACTTATTAAGCAAAAATTACTTAAATAATAAAAAAATTGATTATTGAGAACTTGATTTTAGCTTCTGCGTTTAGATTATTAACTGGTGAATAGGTGCACCGAACAGAACAAGGTATGGGGTATTTATTGAGTAGGAGGGGTAGGTTTGTTAAATTTTATTATATGATATTGATATGGATATGGGTATGGATATGATGATGATTACCGGCCAACGACTAGCCTTGTCAAGCTGAGAAGCTCCCTCCTCAGCCTCTTTGAAATAGAATCTTGCTCTTGCAATCTGCTCTTTCATGAATTCTCTCCATCCATCACTCACCTTTCTCGAGAACACATCCTCATCGCGTAACCCAAATTGAGCCAGCTCATCTTGGGGAAGATAAATTCTCCCTCTCGTGGCACTGCAAAATTATGGTTATTAAAAGAACGACATTGAGAATTGAGGAGCAAATTTAAAATTTGAAAGCACATTATTAGATTTAGAGTGAAGCACGAAGTACTAACTCTTCTCCCACATCTCTAAGAATGTTGGTGAGTTGATTTCCAATGCCCAAGTTCAATGCTGCATTGTATATACTTTGAGCAGAAACTGCAGATTCTGGTGCTATCCCCATTACCGGAACGCTCATTAGCCCAACAGTCCCAGCCACATAGTAGCAGTAAAGGTAGAGCTCTTTAAAATTCTCATATCGACTCTTCCTCAGATCCATTCTCATGCCCTCTATCATGTCCCTGAAAGGCTGTCATGTCATTTATTGCACAAACAAATTGTTTTGTATCAGATTCAGATGGCATTGAATTGAATGGAACATAATAGGACTTTGAATTTGAATTGAAGCAAATGGGCTTTTGTGGGCAGTAAATTAATTTTCAAGGCACCTTAATGTCTAGAGGGAACTTGTAAACAGTGTGAGTGAGTGCAGCATCCAACATGTCATAGGGGCGTCCGTGGAAGATGTCGTGCAGTCTCTTTTCCCACCTGTCCAACACTGCCGAGCTCATGTGCATAGCATTCGGCCCATCCACCAGTTCATCTGTCCTCCTGCACCAAACTGCAAATAACCATTCCAACTTCAAAATAATAATAATAATATCTTGAATAAAATACCACAAGAAGAAAAAAATTAAAAAAAATAATGACATCCTTGGCAGCAAGGATTTGCTTCCAAATCACTCTCTCTCACTCACTCTTACGTGTTAATCATCTAAATCAATCAATAACTTTCTTACCATAGATTGCCCATATTGCTTTCTGTCTCTCTTCTGTCATCAATAATGTCCCTGAATCATCATAGTTAATCAAATCAAACAGTACTCTCAAAGTTCAAGCAGTTACATCGATTCAATAGTAATTACAAAGAGAAAAGTTAGGGATCATGAAATTTTTTTTATAAAAATAATCATGAAAGATTTATGATCCTTGAATTACTTTGATTAGTGTGTGGTATTTTATTCTAAGTGTAATTCAAGAGCCACAAAACTTTCATGATTATTTTCATGATACCTAGCATTGTTAATTACAAATATACAATTTGAACCGAAGTCTGAATTTGCTGAATTTGGGATTCCAACTATGGGGGTAAAGTTGTGAAATCCCAATTGTTCATTGAAGGGAAAGCCATTCATTTTTTCATGCGAAATATAAATGGAAAAAATGGGTAGTTATTTTTCACATTGACACTATCTAAACCTTTTAGTTTCCGGACGGCTAGGATTTCTCTAACTTCACCTTGAAGTCAAAGCCTCAAATTCGCAAATCACGGTGAGATACATGGGATTTGAAAATCATTTTTCATATTGAATTCATATAGAATTTTGAAAATATAAATTGGCAAAAATTATCATGATGAAGTTAGTTTAGAGTTTGGGAAGTAAACAAATAAAAAATGAAGATTGACTCAGTACAGGAGGTATTTATGAAAAATAAACAATTTTTTTGTCATGCAATATTTCTTAGGAGTGCTTAGAGAACCTTTAACATGAAAATTACTTTAGTTTGCATGCAAAGAGATTATTGTTTCTGAGTTTTGAATCCATTGACATTCATTGAGGTCTCACAAGGCGTTAGATGTACACCTAGTTCAATTACTTTAGAAAATGATCCTAAAATGGCCGGCCCCAAATGAGGCCTAAAACATTTGGAGAAATTTATATGATCCAACTTTTGGAAAAAGAGGAAACAAAGATGAACAAACCTAGGTAGAAGGTCTTAGCATATTCTGCACAAAGATTCCTGCATCTTTGGTAAGCTTCTTCGAGGAATGTAGGATGGAACTGTGGGTTCATGTTTCTGCAAGAATCATCATGGTCAACTGTGGCAAAATTGTTTGTGTGATAAGAAGACTGCCTCTGGACAATTTCGGAAACATGGAGATCAGTGTGAGGAATGCCTAGAACCGATAATTCAGGTATGGAGCGTGGCCGAATTTGCTTGGGGGCTGTGGCTAACTCAGCTCTCACTCTCATTCTCGCTGCAGCAGGATTTGACATTTTAAAATATTTCTGAGACAGAAAATTGCCATTGCCATTCATATTGATGCTGGCTTTGATGCAAGGCTTAGGTGCAAGTGAAAATGCACGACTCATTTTTGAAGAATCCACAGCCACCATAGCCACAGCCACAAGTAATACAATTATACAAGTAACAGCAGCAGCAGCAGGAGGCAGGCTGAAAAAGAAACTGATTCAACAAATGGTGTACACCCTCCTCTTACTCATTATTAACATATAGGGTATATTATGGCGGTAGTTCCTGTACTTTGGTTTTTGTGTCATTTTGATCTCTGTAATTTTAATTGGCTTGATTTTGATTATGCATTAATGATTTTGTCTTAATTTGACCCAATTGATTATACTTTCAACATTTTTTTTTATGAAAATAGTTATATAAGTGGCATGTGTCATAATTTTAATGGCAAAAATACAAACTTAACCAACTCAATGAGTTAATCTCAACCAATTTAGTGATAATTTTTTATCAAAAACACTACTGCCATTATCAATTGGACTAAATTAATACAAAATCTAAAATTAAGGGTCAAATTTAAACCAATTAAAAATTAGATAAATTACAAATACAGATTTGATTAAAATAAGAATCGCCTCCTGTGGTTTTGAAAATTACATTTCACCTCCTGAGATTTCTAATTTTATAACAAATCGCCCATTTTATTAATAAATCATCAAGTCAATTAACAGTTTTAATAATGGTAAAAATATGTTTCAATTAATAATTTAGATAATTTTACCATTGTATAGGAAAACAATTATGAATTTCATTTTTTAAGTTAATTCTATTAAATAAAAAATTCTAATAAGGGGTATTTGTAATTTTTCAAATCACAGGGGGCAATCTGTATTTTAAGCAAATCTAAAGAGGTGTATTTATAATTTACCCTTAAAAATGTAAGGACTAAAATAATATATAGGGCAAAATATAGAGACTATTAATATTATTTTCTCAAATATATATGGAATCAGTTAATTTAAAACAATCATGAGACGTTGCCCATCATTCTTCATTTTTAAATGAAAATCCATTACGTACATCCTTCTCTTTCTCTCAACATACTAGACAACAATGTTACCAACACAAGAAAATTTAAAAATATATATGTATATACATATATATATTAATCTTAGGTGTCGTCTTATTTAAATATGGATCATATATTTTTCATTTGGAAAATACTATTTATACATTAAATTCATACAAAAAATATTATAAAAATTATATGACAATATCATTTTCATAAATAAATGTCATCATTGTGATGTTTTGATTTAAAATAAATAGTTTATATTGAATCACATTATCATATATAAAAGTTTTGCATGAAATTTTTTTATTTATATATCACTATTCATTTAATTTTCTATACACATTTTCTATATTGGTAACTGTACTATTTGGCATATGATGTGTAAGTAGAAATAAAAATAAAAATGCACTTGTCATTTAAAATGAATAAATAAATAAAATAAAAAATTGTACATTGTGATTTGTGATGAAAAATAGTATATAGTTGGCATTAGTGAAGATGTAAGTTACAAAGATGCGGGCTTTGTCTGTTTCATAAGAACCTTTATGTTGTATTTGGTTGAAAGATTTAAAGAGAAATTTGAAAAAAAGAAAAAGAAAAAGAAAAAGATATGTGAAATTAAGTAATATATATATATATATATATATTTTATTCACATTTTATTCATCATTTTTATTTTTCTTTCTAAATCTCTTCTCAAATCTCTTAACCAAATACAGCATTAATTGTTGATAAAAGAGTCTGTCTCCTTCCGCGACCGAAATGAGAATCTTCTTCACTTCTGATTCCCCAATCCTTAAACACCTCCAGTTTTCAGTTCTCATGTTTTGTCCTGGAGTTCTCTGAGATTAAATATTTTTTCTCCTGCCACGTGGATGCCTATTTAATTAAGCAAGCTATTAAATTATTCAACATTCAGACAAGAAAGGTATGTTCTACCTGTCATTTTCTTTATGCTGAATATTAATTGCCCACCAACTTCATTTTAATCAAAATTCTACCCATAATTATTGAATAATCTCATAGTATCAACTTGGTGTGTCATGAAACATCATGTCTAAGTTTCAAGTTCAACTTGGAAGGCTAAATTAATTATGTAGTCATTATGTTTACTCACATGATATGTGTGGGGACATAAAATTTTTGAATAACGACACGTGATCGAGGTGTCACCGAAGTGCCAGTCGAAGTACCATGTGTCCTGGTCATGACGCCGAGATAATCTCGGTTAGGCCGAGGTTACCAACGAGAATACCAGAATCCGAGATAAGCGGATAAAGAACAAGAGTCCTAAAATGGGAGGAGACTTCAGTTTGGGTAAAGATGAGACTCTTAGAGAGCTTATCCTGATCCTATTGGGAGTTCAAGATTAACAGTAATCCTGAATCCATTAGAGTTAGGCTTCCATTGAGACTAGGATTGAGTTGGCTATAAAAGAGAGGCACCCCCATGGGTCTAAGGTATGCTTTTGATACTCAAGCTTGTGAGTTTAGCACTTGATTTATTTTTTGAGAGATAACTGACTTGATGTCTGAGGTGCCCGGGTTTGGATGAACCACGCCCGGAATCTTTTCTTTCTGTTGCCAGGTCAGCCAGCGTGCCACTCTATTCTGCCAGCTGCTCATTCGCTAGCTTCGTTACTAGCGGGCCGTTATGCCGTCAGAAAATCCAACTCACTAAATTTGGCGCCGAGAAAGAAGAATAGATGGCCAATGAAAGAAAGAAGAATAGATGGCCAATGACGGACAGAAGGATCAGATTGGAGACAACGCTCTTGCTGGGAGTGGGAGACCTATCAACCTCGACATTGAAGGGGACGACCGCAACACAGAAACTTGTGACCAGAGTCACGGAGTGAAAGACGCTGGCCAGAAAGGTGACGCACCAAAGACAACAGATCGAAGTGGATACTACAAACGAAGATGACCTCCAGGTATGGAAGGATAGATACCTGCGGAGGAACGAAGACCCTTCCAGAAGGGATGCAAAGACAGGGGGCATGAGCTCTCCCAAGGAGATAACATTCAAGTATAGAAGAACTCATCCTAAGTGAGCAGATCCCGGATTCCAGATCCTAGATCCCGGATCCTAGAAGACATAATCTCGGCCTAGATGAGTAGGTCTGAGAAGAGAAGAGCTCAACTTGAGTGAGTAGATCCAAGATTCTAACAGACAAGATCTCGACACTTAAGTCCGAGAAGAGAAGAGCTCAGTGAGCAGATCTCAGATCCCAGAAGATAAAAAAAACACACACACAAGGTTGGACTGCAGTTAGCCAGGTTGAAGACCTTTTATAAGATTCGCAAAGGAGTATGTGGAAGCCATGCATGGGGCAGAGAGAAGAAGAATATGTTTACCACTTGTTGAAATTTGCAGTAATTTACAAGTTGGTTAAACTGATATGATGTTTACCACTTGTTGAAATTTGTAGCAATTTACAAGTTGGTTAAACCAATATGATGTTTAACACTTGTTGAAATTCTGTGTGAATTTACAAGTTGAAGTTAAACCGAGATGATGTTTAACACTTGTTGAAATTCTGTGTGAATTTACAAGTTGAAGTTAAACCGAGTTTGTATCGGAAGAAGATTGGTTTAAACACTTGTTGAAATTCTGTGTGAATTTACAAGTTGAAGTTAAACCGATGTGATATTTAACACTTGTTAAAATTCTGTGTGAATTTACAAATTGAAGTTAAACCGAGATGATATTTAACACTTGTTGAAATTCTATGTGAATTTACAAGTTGAAGTTAATTATTTTTTCTGTTAAGTTTAGCAATTTGTTACACACCTAATGATATAGAACTCAACTCTCTCGTCACATTGTTGCAAAATGTTTGAAACTTCCAAAAGTTCACACAATTCGATCTACAAGTGTGTGATATGATATGTATCATTTTTTTAATTTGTTATACACTCAATGATGTAGACTCCAATTCTATTATCATATCATTGTGGGTGAATTTATGTGTCTTTAGTATTTCTTTCGAATTTATAAAAATAAATAAATAAATTGAAAAATGCATGAGAGCTCTAATTGAGCACCCTTAATCCACCGCTAATGATATGGAATGTACCTCACTCCTCACTTCTCATCATGCCTCTCTCTCTCTCTCTCTCTCTCTCTCTCTCTTCCACATCATTAGAGGTTAAAATGAGGGTAATATTTTAGGGGGGACATAGCACCACTCCAAAAAAAAATTATGGTATGCAACTTTTTGCAACAGATAAATATAAAAAAAATGCAAGATAATTTACTGAACTAATAAAGAAATAAAAGCAACATGAATAGTCAAACTCAAAGATGAAACAAATAGAAAATATATATATATATATATATATATATTCACAACAAAAAGGGTAATTTCAATATGGCCAAAAAGCAAGCTTTCTCTAGTTTAAAATTTTAAAATGACAATTTGAAAATAAAAAATTTAAAAATTGATTTTATATTCAACGCTTAATTTTTTAACAACCAACTTTTCAATTTAATAAATTTATCATTTAGTTTTTGGTCTTTAATTTTTAATATTCAACTTTCAATTTTCAATTTTATATGTTTTATTTTTCTCTTTATTTGTTTTTTTTTTTATTTTCTCCTTTTTGTTCACTTGTTCGGCCTGAATATTGAAAAATAAATTATTCAGACTACAAAAATGGCTCGTCGGCCGGATTAAAAGCATACAAAGAAGGACAAAGTACAAGGTATAAGGAGTAAAAGAAGGAAACAAAACTACTCGGCATCAATGGCAAGACATAGAAGACAGTTGGGAAGACTTCTTAGCAGCCTTCTCGGCCTCGAGCTCAGCATCGATCTCCCGAAGAGTTTGATCAAAGCTCTTCTCGGCTATTGGCACCTCGGAGTTTGAAGGCAAGGATTGAAAGCAAGAATCTGGAAAAAGACACAGAAAACAGAAACAAGAATATAATTCGTAATCAAGAATGGTGATGAAGCTATTAGGAAATCAAGACAAAAAGATTGCACAAGTGTGTCAAGCCAAGAACAGTGGCATAAATCAACAGATGTGTGAACATTGTGTATTCAAGAAGATGATTCGGAAACAACGGGTAAAACAACAATGGTGATTAACAATGAAGCAGAGCTTCTTGGAAAGCAACAAGAAATAAAACCAGGAGGAACAGTGGCTTACTAGAAAGAGGGAAGCCGAAATGAGAATTGCCGAAGTTTGACGACGGATGCGAAAATGATAGAATGACGTAAGCTTCACCGGAGGAGAGGAACGAAAACAGTTGC